TTGTAGCAATATTATTGAACATTAATAGCAACATATTACTTATGTAGCTCCTTTAACATAATGAAAGGACCAATGGTATTTTGCAGGCTCATTATGATCAAAATTTGAATTTGTATCCCATAAGGCAATATTAGGACAGATTGGTCAAGTATTAACAATTGTATTTTCAGCAAAATGATGGGAGAAGATGGAACGTTGTGGTTTGAATTCCAGAGTTTGGGATCCAGTTATCTAAAGGCATAGTCACCAGTATTGGACCTTTAGTGTGCAATGCTGGATGAGTACTAAGGTGGGGGCAGTTCTAGGTGAGGCAGGCACGTGGCCAATAGGCACATGAAAACAGGGATAAGAACTTTAAAATTGAGGCGTAAAGGTAGCTACTAAAAAAGTGGAAGGAAGATGCTGATATTTTGATAGTTCCCCAGTGTTAAAGGGCAAGGCTGGAGCTAAGATGCCTTTGACATCAATGCTGCTTTGGAGAGTTTGACATAAGGGACCCGTAGCACAAGTGTAGTTAATTGAAATCCAGAAAACTTCATGCTGTTTAAAGTCAAGGAGCAGAAAGGGTGGTGATGGTGGTTGGTAATCAATCATCGCAGCCATAGAACATCACTGCAGGAGTCCTTAGGGTGGTGTCCTTGGCCCAGCAGTCTTCAGCTGCTGCTTCACTGACCTTATCTCTATTATTAGGTCAATAAATTGGAATGTTCAATCATCCATGTTAAGCACCATTTGTAATAGCTCTGATATTGAAGCAGCCTGTGTTCAAATGCAGCAAGCCTTAGACAACCTTCAGGCTTGGGCTGGTAAGTAGCAGGTAACACTCATCCCACACTCAACGCAGCAAGCAGTGACCATCTCCAACAAGAAAGGAATCTAACAATTGTCTAGAGGTTCAATGGCATTACCCATAGCCGAATCCCGCACTATCGACATCCTGACCAGAAACTGAATGGGACCAGTCAAGTAAATAGTGTGGCTAAAAGAGCAGGTGAGAGGCTAGGAATTCAATGGTGAGTAACTTGCCTCAAATCCTGTCCACGAGCGGCAAGGTACAAGTCAGGATTGTAATGAAACACAGACCACTTGGCAGGATGATTACAACTTCAATGAAAACCTGGAAGCTTAACACCACTCAGGACAAAGCTGCCTGTTGTATTGGCACCCTGTCAGCACCACAAAGCCCATGGCATCTTTAACATTCACTCCCTCCACCACCAGTGCACAGTGGCAGTATTAACAAGAGACTGAACACTGAATACCTCTCCTCCAGGGCTATTTCAACAGTACCTTCAAAAGACAGACCGTTACCATCTAGAAGGCCAAAGACAGCATATACGAGTGCACTGCTACTTGGCAAATTTCACTTCATGCCACACACCATCCCGGAACTCATTTATATCAGTGAGTGCACCTACACCATGTGAACTGTAGCATTTAAGATTGTCGTCACCATCTTGAGGACAGGTAGAGATGAGTAATACATGCTGACCAAGCCAGTGATACCCATTTCCTGTCAACAAGTGTAAACAATGTTGTTATTCTGTAAACTGTGATGCCGTTATACTGCATGTGACTGTAACAAAGATGAGAGGCAGAAGGGTAAATGCAGAGGTGCAAGGTTTTAAATCCTTTCTTTAAAAAAAGGAGAAGCAAATTTTAATTAAAAGCATTGCCTCTAATTATTTGTCTAAAATGCTGGTTAAAAACCTATGTTTGCAGGTCACATTTAACTCTAAGAACCATTCAGTGGACAGGAGCTACATGAACCCGGGAGGGAGTTAGTGTTCACTGAATCCCTGGGCTAAGGAACCTTTGTTGTGCACTGGTTATCTTATTGGGGTTTAGAACTTCTAAAACTGTTTTTATATGGGTGCAACAGGAGACTTGCCTGACCTGGAATGTGGTTGCTAATGTTTGCGCATTTAACAGTGGGTGGTTCTACTTGAACGACTCTTAAGAACCATGATGTGGAATGATGGGAAACACTGTAACTTTAAAATAGAGAGGTGATCGTTACCTGTCTTTAATGTGAAGTGTGCATTAACAATATTGTATCTGTAGATATTTTAATGCAATTGCTCCTGGCCTTGTTAATTATTTGGAGTGCTTGTTGGAATATCCTTAAAAGTAAAGATCCTCTGCTTAACATGGCACCATTTTAATCCAATACATTTAGATGGTAAGTATCCCAAATTCAAGCATTTTATTGTGATTTATCCTTGGTCATCTATGTGTGTATCACCAAGGATGCAGCAGACTGGTTTCTAAGATTTCCAATGTATTTCTCCTATTTTTAGAGTTGCCATAAGTACTATATGAGTGATGATATTAGCCGAGATGCAGATGGTATGGATGAACAATGCAGGTGGGTAGTCTAATTTATATCCTGATCTGTTTTTTATTTGTATTCTCATTTCACTGACATTTACTTACCTTTCAGCTGAAGGGACAGGGTTGATTTTAAAGTCAGCTAGGCTTGAAACATTAGCTTGCTTTCTGTCCATGAATGCTGCCTGACTTGCTGTGATGTCCAGCAATTTTTTTTGTTTTCAGTGATTTAAATAGTTTCCTTGTCTCTATCATAGCAATTCAGTCTTTAAAAAAATGTGGATATAAAACTGACATCAACTAAGTGTTGCTAAAAACTCATTACTTAGTAACTGCCCAAAATTATTACCAATGTCAGTTGTTTGAAATGCTTAGCTGATGTGATTTTTTTTAAGACTTTATGGAGAAGAAAGCATGAGCCTTTTATGATTATGAATTTTTTCCTTCATTTTGACAGTTGAATGTTAAGCAAGGAAACCAGTTTGTTCACCTTAGGTTAATTTCACATTGAGTTGAATCTAACCTTTGCAGATCTGATTGTGAATTTTGCATCATTGGAGCGGTGGATGGAGTTGCTGGCTTTACGATATGCTCACTTGTCCAATAGGGACCTGATTTCTCCTCAAATGGGAACATTACTCGATGAAGAAAGCTTCTGTATTTGGATCTGTCTAGAGTTTTTCCTCTTGTAGTTGGGTTCAACTCATTTGCTCTGTGATTGGATTTCACAAAGTCATTGTTTCTAAGTTTGCAGCATTCTGTGTGGTGTGGTTTCCTTGTTTCATTGGTTGTAGAGTGTTAACATTGCTGTGCACAAATCCTCTGTGAATTGCAAGGCAAATTAGGTAAAATTGAGCTCTGATGAACATACTCTAATTTGCAGCACCTTGCAAGAACTTGGTTGTTAGCAATTTTATCCTGAAATTCGATGATGCAGATCTGAAGCAGCAAAGGTGAAATGCATCTGGTTGTTTTGTGTGATGCAAGTACTTTTATCCATGCCTCTCAGCCACCAGGATTGTGAAATTTCCACCTCTTGATGCAATTCTGGAATTTCAACCTTTCGAATATTTTCTCAATCTCTCCCCATCAGCATCAGATTTAAAATGTATATCACAAATATTTTTAATAAGCAGAATGTGACTCATTTTCTGAAAGGTTCAGAGGAGGTTCATGAGAATGGTCCCAGAAATGGAAAACTTAACATATGAGGAACGTTTGAGGACCCTGGGACTATAGTCATTGGAGTTTAGAAGGATGAGGGGGGATCTAATTGAAACTTTCAGAATACTGAATGGCCTGGACAAAATGGATGTTGGGAAGATGCTTCCATTGGTAGGAGAGTCTAGGACCCGAGGGCACAACCTTAGAGTAAAGGGAAGACCTTTTAGAACTGAGATAAGGAGAAACTTCTTCAGCCAGAGAGTGGTGAATCTGTGGAATTCACTGCCACAGATGGCTGTGGAGGCCAGGTCATTGAGTACATTTAAGACTGAGATAGATAATTCTTGATTATCAAGGGTTACAGGGAGAAAGCAGGAGAATGGGGTTGAGGAACTTATCAGCCATGATTGAATGGCGGAGCAGACTTGATGGGGTGAATGGCCTAATTTCTGCTCCTATGTCTTATGGTCTTATAAAATCCACAGAAAGGGTACAGACTTGCTTTTGATTCTGGGAGAGATGGATGTGTGTGTGCAGTTTGCCTCCTTTTGGCCGCCTGTGTGATGTCTTGACATGTGGCTTTGTAAGATGTGACCGAGAGAAAGTTGATACTTGTCTGTTGGATATGTAGGATCAGTTAGTGGCTTGGTTACCTTCACAGAGATGACATGTAATGTTGGGACTTCCATTTGAATGCAAGGATCTCCAGTGCCTTGCTTTGAGTAACATCCCTTCATTTCAAAGTAGTTTCATTGCCTGTTATCTTATAAGATAGCAACAAGGTCTTCTGCTAATTTTTTTCTTCCAGTTTTTGTGTCTTGGTCGAGTTTCCTGGTTGATTATGAAAAACAGTGGAAAATTAATCTTTGTTTTCTATTTGATTCTAATTTGTTTTTCCTGCTGGAAATAGTTATAGCAGTGACTGGCTGTGGTACCGTCCAGCTCAAATCTGATCCTGAGCTCTCTAAAGCAAAGAATAATCACTTGTGAGATCGAAAGATAGTTTTAAAAACAAATTCTTGCATTTGTGCTCATATGCTGCTTTTGAGCTATAATTTGGCTGAAATTGGAGTAAATAACATGTAATGTCAGAATTGTGATGGTGCAGAAACAGGTAATTCAGCCATCATGCTTGCACTGGCTCTCCAATGAATATTAGAACTTGGTACTTTTTGCCTGCCTTTCCCCTGTATTCTTGTTTATTGTTCCTGATCACAGAATTTGAGTGCATTTACGTCTTTGCAACTTAATTTTGTGCTAGTTTGGGAATGAAAAATCACAGTAGATCATACCTTCAGGGTGAATTTATCATTTAGTATTTACACTAAATGCACTCGTTCACGCCTTCAGGAACGCGTTTTGAAGTTGGCTGAGTTTCCAATGAACACTGCACCTGGTGGTGTGAAGAGCAGAAAGAAAACTGACATCGTTCTCCAGTGACAGGAAGCAACTGCCTGTCTAAAAGATGGTGGTGCTGTAGGATGTAAAATTAAGTACCAGAATAAGTTTTTCTCACTTCCCTTGCCATCTCTTGTTCGTTGCATCACTCCTGATGCAACTTTCTGGTGTTTCCACCACCGCCGCGTGCGCACGTGCACACACCCCCGCGTGCGTAATTGCTGTTTTAACATTTAAGCTGGTTCCTTTTGAGTGCACGGACATGAAAAGTACCTGTTAAAATCTGTGATCTGCTTTAGTTTACTTAGACAATGACTAATGGGCTACAGTAGAACTTGAATAATTTAAAAAATTAATTTAGTAAGTTAATTCACTAATTTAAGAGTTGCATGGATGGTGAATTGACAGTTATTAAAAATGTCTTTGAAGTATATTTTATTTTCAACTATTTAACTAAGCTTACAGTTAATACTTGGAAAAACTTTTTAAAGCACAACCCAATTACACAGAAACTTGCCAAAACTAGTGCAGTTGACACCAGAATATGCATTTGTGTTCAAAATGAAAGCCCTAGCTGGAATGTTTAATACTGTGTGACAGTGCTATGCTTTTAAGAAGTTATTTTGACCTGGTTTTTGTTTGAAGAAAGGTTGTAAGGATGAGGTGTCAGGTAGTCTGTAATAAAGTAAACAGCTTGGGAGGCCTTGGGTTTTATTTAAAATGGTTGGAACAGTGGACGCAGTCTGGATGCGTATGGCCAGCTCTCTGAGACCAGGAGTTTTAGGTTTATTTTTAAGCAGTTTCTGTTGTGGGCTTGAAGCGAAGCTATCTTTTCCCTTCTCGGTTAAAGCTGGAAGCTGGGGTTTCTCTCTGCTGTTGGGTTACCTGCGAGACAAATCTATTTTTTCTGAAGTGGGATAACAAGGCGTAGAACTGGATGAACACAGCAGGCCAAGCAGTATCAGAGGAGCAGGAAAGCTGACGTTTCGGGTCTAGACCTGTCTTCAGAAATGGGGGAGGGGAAGGTGATTCTGAAATAAACAGGGAGAGAGGGGGAGGCGGATAGAAAATGGATAAAGGCGAAGATAGGTGGAGAGGAGACAGACAGGTAAAGAGGCAGGGATGGAGCCAGTAAAGGTGAGTGTAGGTGGGGAGTTAGGGAGGGGATAGTTCAGTCCAGGGAGGATGGATAGGTAAAAGAGGTGGGATGAGGCTGGTAGGTAGGAGATGGGGTGGGGCTTGAAGTGGGAGGAAGGACAGGTTAGGGAGGCGGGGACAAGCTGGGCTGGTTTTGGGATGCGTTCGGGGGAGGGGAGATTTTGAAGCTTGTGAAGTCCACATTGATACCATTGGGCAGCAGGGTTCCCAAGCGGAATGAGGTGCTGTTCCTGCAACCTTCGGGTGGCATTGTTGTGGCACTGCAGGAGGCCCAGAATGGACATGTCGTCCAAGGAGTGGAGGGGGAGTTGAAATGGTTCACGACTGGGAGGTGCAGTCGTTTGTCGTGAACCAAGCGTAGGTGTTCCAGAAAGCGGTCCCCAAGCCTCCGCTTGGTTTCCCTGATATAGAGGAGGCCACATTGGGAACAGCGGATACAGTATACCACATAAACAGATGTTCACCTGCACATCTGCTAGATGTGGAAGGTCTTCTTGGGGCATGGGATGGGGGTGAGTGGGGAGGTGTAGGGGCAGGTGTAGCGCTTCCTGCGGTTGCAGGGAAAATTGCCAGGGTGGTGGGGCTGGTGGGAGTGTGGAGCGGACAAGGGAGTCACGGAGAGAGTGGTCTCTCCAGAAAGCAGATAAGAGTGGGGAGGGAAAAATGTCTTTGGTAGTGGGGTCAGATTGCAGATGGTGGAAGTACCGGAGGATGATGCGTTGGATCCGGAGGTTGGTGGGGTGGTATGTGAGGACGAGGGGGATTCTGTTTTGGTTGTTATTGCAGGTAGAGGGTGTGAGGGATCAGTTGCAGGAAATGCGGGAGACATGGTTGAGGGGAAGTTGTGGCTCTTGAAAAACGAGGACATCTGGGATGTCCGGGAGTAGAATGCCTCATCTAGGGAGCAGATGCGGCGGAGGCGAAGGAATTGGGAATAGGGGATGGCGTTTTTGCAGGAAGGTGGGTGAGAGGGGGTGTATTTAATTTAGCTGTGGGAGTCGGTAGGCTTGAAATGGATATCTGTTTCCAGGTGGTTGCCAGAGATGGAAACAGAGGTCCAGGAAGGAGAGAGAGGTATCGGAGATGGCCCAGGTGAACTTAAAGTTGGAGTGGAAGGTGTTAGTGAAGTGGATGAACTGTTCAAGTTCCCCATGGGAGCACGAGGCGGCGCCGATACAGTCATCGATGTAACGGAGGAAGAGGTGGGGTATAGGGCCGGTGTAGCTTCGGAAGAGGGATTGTTCCACGTATCCTACAAGGAGACAGGCATAGCTTGGGCCCATGCGGGTACCCATGGCCACCCCCTTTGTCTGTAGGATGTGGGAGGAATTGAAGGAGAAATTGTTAAGGGTGAGGACGAGTTCAGCTAAGCGGATGAGGGTGTCATTGGAGGGGGACTGGTCGGGCCTGCGGGACAGGAAGAAGCGGAGGGCCTTTAGGCCGTCTGCATGGGGAATGCAAGTGTATAGGGACTGGACATCCATGGTAAAGATGAGGTGTTGGGGACCAGGGAATCGGAAGTTTTGGAGGAGGTGAAGGGCATGGGTGGTGTCATGGACGTAGGTGGGGAGTTCCTGGACCAAGGGGGAGAAGATGGAGTCGAGATAATTGGAGAGAAGTTTGGTGGGGCAGGAGCAGGCAGAGACAATGTGTCGACCAGAGCAGTCAGGTTTGTACCAAGGAGTGTATTAATGGGATGTTTTTATGTTGGAACAGTTAATTAGTAATAGTTATTGTATCTATTAAGTTTTCCAGTAGAGTTAAGTTATTCTAAGTTCTCTTTCTTGTGTTACAATTTATTTAAACACTATAGTTAAAGTATATTTTGCTTAATGTGAGTAGGTTGACCAACTGAATTGCATCTGGACCACAGTGTGTTACGTTTGCCTTTAAGAAAATGTTAGGGTTTAGGCTGTCATCTTGACGTATTTTTAGGGGATCTAGTCTGGTCCATAACAACTGCCTGAGTGGCTGAATTATCTCAAAAGGTGTGGAATTGTTAGCCAACAGGAAGCTGAGTTCTGAGGCAAATGTATCTTGACACCCTGCCCTTGGAGCCAGCAGCTTCAGCTAGGAGACAGAGAAATGTTTCTAATGGGAAATAATTTCCAACATCTAAATGAGTTCAAGAAAAGAAAAAATCAATAGGTGCTGTGTACTGAAGCTTCATGTAGATGATGTGAATGTGATCCATCCACACTGCCCCACCTGTTCCACTTGATAGCTTTGGACCTACTTCACAGTTGTGATTATTACTTCCTGATGTGTAGACTTTCTTTTTATTCTGCTTTTCCTTCTGTATTGCAGATGGTGTGCTGAAGGTGGAAATCTGATTTGTTGTGATTTTTGTCACAATGCATTTTGCAAAAGCTGCATCTTGCGAAACCTGGGTAGGAAGGAACTATCCAATATTATGGATGAAAACAAAAAGTGGTACTGCTATGTATGTAACCCAGAGCCTTTACTGGATTTGGTGACAGCGTGTGACAGTGTATTTGAGTGTCTCGATCAGCTGTGGCAACAAAACAGAAAGAGGAGAGACTTTGATAAATTTAAATTGGACAGTGATAAATGCAAATCTCCCGGTCCTCATGACAGTGACAAGTCTATGGATCATGAGTATAAAAATGCTCAGAGAATTTCCAGTAAAGATTGTAATGGACAAGAAAAGGATGAAGACACATTAACAGCCCTTTCTCCAGGTTCTGGAAGTATTTTATATTCTTATAAGGCACTGAAAGTGCCAAAAGAAATTCTGAAGAAGGCTCGCAAGCTAATAGATACAACAGCCAACTTGAATATTAGTTTTGTTAATTTTTTAAAACAGAAAGACTTGAATGAATCTGAGTCTAATGTAAGCATGAGACAGTTGAAAGCTTTTAAGTCTGTGCTTGGAGATCTAAAAAAAGTTCATCTTGCATTGGAAGAAGTTGTAGATAGAGAGATTCAGGATTTGGAAAGAAGTAAGAAACATGCTGGATCATTACAGGATTGTGTTAAGAAATTTGAGGTGTTGGATTCTACTAACAGTGAAAACTATTTATTACCTGATCGGACAATTGCAGAAAACTCTGTTTCACCTGAAGATGAATCTGATCAGATGGAAGTGTCAGTAGTGTCAAGTGAACCAGACAAGATTACTGAAGAACAACAAATGTCAGTAAAACAAATCAGTCCACTAGTACTGGATTCAAAAATGCCTAGAATTGAAACTGATTGTATATCAAATGAAGATCTGTTGGTCAAAAATGAAGTTGTTGCTAATACTGAAAATCCGGGTCTTGTACTAGAATCCGAGATGGCCGAAGCAACATTACTTAACAGTTTAGATGAAGCTTTAGATATGGGTTCTGTTGCTTCATTGACTGAAGGTTTGTTTGGGGCAACTGTCTCATTGCTACCAGATCTGGACACAATGGATAATTCTGCCAGTAACAGCACACTGTTAGATACTACATCAACTAAAGCACCTGCTGAAAGCCAGAATTCTGAAAAATCCTCAGAGTTGGACTCTGATTCCAGTGTTAAATCTTCAGCTAAGTGTGAAACTTTAAGTAAGCTGACGCTGGCTTCACTTAAGAGATCTAAAAAAACTGCAAAAGGTACAGGCAAGAGAAAACTGTTTAAGGATAGACAAGATACTGCAGCAATAGATGATGCTGAAGGTGTTGCTGAAATGGATGATAATGGGAGGGACACTGAGGCAGAGGATAATGAAGTTGCTGAGGCAGTGGCTAATGGGAGTGATGCTGCTGTGGTAGTGGATAATAGCAGTGGCAACAAAGGGCATGTGGTGGAGAGTGATGCAGGCAGTGCTGGCGACAATGATGGAAATGAAGCTGATGGTGATGATACTGGGTATGGAGTTGATAGCCATGATGATGCAGAAGGTGGAGAAAGAATCAGTGCTGCAGAAGATTCCATTAAAGGCAAAAAAATCAAGAAAAAGAATCAAAGGGGCAATTTAAAAATTTCAAAAAAGAGGAAGAAGAAATCAGATGAAGCAATCGAAGACGATCTTGAAAATGATCCTGTAAATGATGCTTCAGTTCTGTCAGAGGATGCTGATACCAGGCGATCACCTCGCATAAAAACTACACCCCTGAGGCGTCCTGGTGGGGCAGGAATTGTGAACTCCAGATCTGAAGATGATACTGATAGTACTGGTGGTAAAAAGCGTAGAAGATTGAAAAGGGAATCTAAAGGTAAAGACAAAGTTGACTCTTCGGTGAAAGTAAAGACTGGCCAATCAAAAACAGTCAGCAAAAGTCTCAAGTGTGAGATGCAAGAATCGGATCCTGATAAGTCAGATACACCACATCAAGCTAGTGTGCAAACTACCTCTGACTCAGATGAAATTCCTGAGGTATTGAAAAAGGCAGCAGTGAAATGTGAGAGCTCATCAGATGTGGATAACAAAGATAGTGATTCATCCCAAAGAATTATTAAAAGGACGAGTCTGTTTGGTTTGAGAAAACGAATGCCACAGTCTAGTAGCCTTAAACGTAAAAGGAAGTGCTCATCTTCGAGTTCAGATTTTGGTGGAAAAGAGAGAAAAAGAACTAGTCAAAGGATTAGTGTTGCTAACAAAAAAAGACAGCATCGTTCAGACTCTTCGAACTATGATTCTGACCTAGAAAAAGAGATAAAGAACTTGAGTAAAATCAGTGCTGCTAAAAAATCATCTTCAAAGAAAACAAAAAGACAGATAACCAAGGAAGATGGGGATGATTCATCCAAAGATGAGAGAGTTTCCACAAATTCTGCTCCAGAAAAAGCAAAATTAAAACGAAAGAAACGAGCTGTGGGGAGAAAGCAAAGCTCCTCATCATCGTCCGATGAAGATGAAGAAACTGAACAAGGGGACAAGCAGGACATGCCTGGAGAAGATAGCAGTGATGAACAAAAGATACAGCCTATCATGGAAAACGTTGTTCTTGCTGCAGGATCAGGATTTTGCCAGTCATCAGGTAGGTGTGCTGCTTTTATGTGATATTTTTGCGTTTCTTCTGTAATTTTTCAAAGCATTGCATATTTTCATAGCATCGTAGAAACCTTACAGTGTGGAAGCAGGCTAGTCAGGCCATCAAGTGACACTGACCCTCCAAAGACCATCCCACCCAGACCCACTCCACTACCCTATCCCTGTAACTCTACATTTCCCATGGCTAATCCACCAAGCCTTCATGCCCATGGACACGAGGGATAATATAGCATGGCTGATCCACCTGACCTGCCATCTTTGGACCTTGGGAGGAAACCAGAGCAGACATGGGGAGAATGTGCAAACTCCACACAGACAGTCGCCGGAGAGTGGTGCCTGGCACTGAGGCAGCAGTGCTAACCACTGAACCATCGTGCTACCCATTTTGATGAAGACTATTTCAAATAACCTTCTCCATAAGCAGATCATGTCGTTTTTGAACTGCTATTGATGTACCTTTGCTAGCGTAACCCAATCTGAACAATTGACCTCAATTGCATTATGGGTCTGAGCTAATGTTTTGGATGCTGTTATAATTACTGTCAGTTGACAATGGAAATATGATGCCACACCAGAGATTTATTAACGCATTTATTGGTTCACAGCAGAAACTATTATCGAGTCATAAGGATGTACAGCATAGAAACAGACCCTTCAGTCCAACTCATCCATGCTGACCATATATCCTGAATCCTTCAGTCCAACTCGTTCATGCCAACCAGATATCCTAAATTAATCTAGTCCTATTTGCCAGCATTTGGCGCATATACCTCTAAACCCTTCCTATTCATGTACCCATCCAGATGCCTTTTAAATAATTGTACCAACCTCCTCCACTTCCTCTGGCAGCTCAATCCATATATGCACAACTCTCTGCGTGGAAAAAGTTGCCCCTTCAGTCCCTTTTAAATCCTTCTCCTCTCACCTTAAACCTATGCCCTCTAGTTTTGAACTCCCCCATCCCAGGGAAACTATTGATGATTTGTAGTACATATAAGTGAAAGTAATGCCTTTTGAAAATCCTCTTGGCCAACTTCTTAAAAGATTGCCTTTGGCAAATATTTAATCCCTGTTTGTTGATTACTGTCACTTGAAACCAGTGTTATGATTATGGATGAACAAAACTGCTAAACTTTGGCATATTCTGGAATTATGATTTGTAGCAAAATCTCAGAATTTGCCACAGAGAGCTGTAGGGGAGAGTCCTTATGTATATTTTAAGGCTGAGATAGGTAGATTCTTGGATCTGTTGGGGAATCGAAGGTTATAGGGAAAGCGCAGGAAAGTGGACGCAAGGAATGTCGGATCAGCCATGATCCTATTTGAATAGCGGAGCAGGCTAGAGGGGCTGCACAGCCTGCTGCTGTTCCTGTTTCTTACAGTCTTATAGAATGGATCCAAGATTTGTATCTAGATTATTATTATTATTATTATTATGATTATGATGATGATGATGATGATGAAGCAGTGGTCTCAACATGGATCCCTGATGGACGCATCTAGACTGTCTAGTCTCCAAACATGACCAGAGATACTTACAACTTTTTCTTGCTTGTAGCTTTCTGGCTAGTTTTCAGTCCAGTTCAATATAATTACCACTAAGATTACTGACTTCTATCTTACAAAGCAGCCTTTCATACAGTATCTGGTCAAAACCCTTTTTAAAAGGCTTCTCTAATTCCATGTTATTCCAAAGTTGTGCCCATTCCAAAACATAATTGGTTATCTAAGGTATAACTTTTTTGGGTGTGTCTTTTCAAAGAAAATTTCAATTTTATTAATCACCCAGTAGCATTAGCCAACAAACTTGATGAACTCTTTTCATTAATTATTGGATTCAAAACCTGTATGAGTTTAAATCCCTTTGTGTGGAACTTTTCCAAATGATTATAAGTGTTGTTCCAATGTCACTTTCTGCATAGTTTATGCCCACCACAACATCAATATAATCTCTCGATGGGATGTTAACACTGAGTTATTACACAAACAAATTTTCTGTTCATCATACAATTTTATCTAATATAAAAGTTTAACAGCTTTTTTTGACTTGGATGTTGAAATGGCGCAAGTTTCTGACTTTAGTGGTTAACTAATTAATAAAATTTATTTCATTTACCTATTGCTAAAGAAAAGAACTGCACCGTTGAAACTTTTTGTCTTGATCCATTGAAGCAAAACTACAAGATGACCAAGTTTCAAAGGGAACAGCAATGTATGCTGAATGAGAAAGAGGGTGCAAATTGGCTGGCAAGTGGACCTTGGTGGGAATGTTGCCATTTGGCAAAATGCTGAAAGCTGCAATTTTTTCATTAATCTTGGAACTAACCATGAACTTCCATTAAAATTTTGAGTTGAAAGGTTTTATGGGTACCCAACGAGGTTTTGTTTTGAATTTGCATAGGCGGAACAAACTCCACGCTTTGTCCAACAATGCTGTTGGATCTTATTGCCCAATTCGTTCGTGGAACAGGCTTCGTGGTGCACCTGACATTGTGGGTTACTTCACAACATGATGAAGGGTGACAAAATAGCTCGGATTAGTGATTAAATTCTTTATTCTGACATTTGGGTTAATTTTAAGATTAGACAGTAATTTTCAACCTGTCTTGACTTACCGACAAATACCAAGTTCTGCAGATGCTCGAATCTCAACTTGGAAACCTAGCTTGTCAATTAGGAGACCATCATTGTGGAGGGATGAGCAAAACACAATATTTCAGATGAGCATTCTTGTATCATAACTGGAATAAAACTTAGATACAAAGACTTAAAAAAGATGATGTTAGAGGTAGAAATGTGAAAAGTACAAAAGCTCTATGATGGTAAAGAATAAAATTCCAAAAAATGTTGCTAGATTGTTGCCATGTAATATAGATCACTTTGTTTTTTAGTTCATGAATATTCTGTAAATATTATGGGAAATCTTAACTAAAACATAGTCTTTATCATTACAGGTGATGAAGCGGAGGGAAATTCAAAAAATGTTCCCCCATGTGCCAGTGATGACTATGATGATGACCCTGAGAATAGGTAATAAATTCCACAGTGCGGACTTTACACAGACTTCTTTATCGGAAAAGCATTTTGTGTAGTCACAAACTTCTTTAAACGGTTAAATTTGTTGGTGCTAACATTTGCTGCTTTATTAAGATATATAACGAGTCTTCATCTGTTTGTAAAAGATTTTTAAATGGTTTGAAACATTTTCATTTTTTCAATTTATGCAGTAAATACAATTTTGTGAAATTACCTGGTCCTCAGCATTTTTTCTTGAAACTATGATTCAAAATGTTATGTGGATTTTGAATCTACCAAATTAAAGATGTCAAATGTCTAGTTGTTATTTCATGTTTATTCATAATGTCGTTGCGTCCTCTGGAAGTGCTTGATTCAATATATAAGTAGCCCACAACAAGACAATTTTGTGTTTAGTTTGTAAGTGGTGTTTTTCAGCTTATGATTAGAAGTTCTTAAAGTGCAGAAGCTAATTGTCTGTAGAATAGTCCATATTCAGCTAATTACTGGAAAAGAGATTCTTGATCAGTTTCCCCTGTGGGGAAACTTTTTTGTGTGGAATAATGTAGAGGATGAGACATATTTGGACATTAACGTCTTGTCTGGTGACCTTGATTTTAAAATTAAACAATTGAGCATACGTTTAAAATGTTGGATTATTATTACAACTTCTCATTGCAACTTAAAAGTTTTTAAAGGGGCGAGATGGAATAGGTGCAGAAATGATATTTTCTGACTGGGGGAACATGTAAAACCATTGGAGGCAGTCTCAGAATAAGGAGCAAGCCACTTTGGACTGAAATGAGGAATTTCTTCACTCAAAGGGTTGTGAAGTTTTGAGTTCTCTGCTAGGAGGACTGTGAAAGATCAGTCATTATGTTCAAGACATATGATAGATTTCTGGAGACTAATGACATCGACTGATATGGGGATAATTAGGGAAATGCCATTGAAATAGATGGTTACCCGTGACCTAGAATGGCATGCTGGGTTGGGGCTGAATGAATTGTTCCTGCTCCTATGTTCTGAAATTGCCTTGATGGAAAGTCGTGTCGTAACATGGTGGCCGATTTGAAGCTTTTGGGGAAATGCCCGGATCTCATTGTAATTCTTTAAAACTACATTTCTAAAATCCGAAATATATATTGTCCTATGACCATAATTTTAGGGAAAAAATATGGAATAAGAAACCCACAAATAAAAGTGCATGGTAGGGGTTATCTTAACTTGTTATACTAGGTAAAATTACTTCAAAATGAAGGGTTGAGTCTCTTGTAATTCCTGGTTTTTGGTTTTGAGTGAGTTTGTACTCCTGGTATATTCTCATAGACATCTCGTCCAAATTTTTGGGTAGAATTGAACACGTCTATTAAAGGGATATGGGGCATAAATCATTTGCATTTTCGCTGCTTGTATGTTAGCCAGAGGAAGGCAAAGCATTTTAGTTTTCAGGCTTATCTTGTTATTGATTTTGAAGTTACTACACAGAATTATAAACTGGGGCAAATCAGAGAATCCGATTTCTTCTGAATGGCCAGCATACCATCACGCATTGTTGTATCCTTTTGCCTTTACTCTTACCCTGTTTGCCTAATAGCTCAGAGTAAATTTGAGTTATGGTCAGCTTATTGACCTTTGAAACAAAATGTACGGTAGTAGCTAAGTGTCTGTTTTCATACTCTTTTCCACCTACATGTTAAGACCAAGTTGGGAGGGTAAATAAATCACTCCTTTTTTTCACTCCTGAAGTTGCTTAGAACAGCGTTTGAATTTTTGAAAAGTTGAGATTTCTCAATTTGCTGTGTAATTGTCCATGTGTAAAACTGAATGAAGAAATAAGACCAACTGATCTCTTAAGTTGACAAAAAATGTATGTGGACGCTTTTTTGTTGTAAACTTGATCAAGGTTCCATCATGTTACAGTTGACAATTGGCAACTGTGGTGTAAATCCATGTTAATGAAGGGCTTTTGGTTTCCCATTGTCAAAACTTTCAAGAATCTATTCGAATGGATAATTAAGTTTTCAGCATATTTTTCATAGTGGATTTTTGTAGGTCTCCTTCGTATCTGGCTGTTCCTACACACATCGTGGCTGTTGCTTATTGTCCATGGGTATTTTCCAGATAGTTCAAACAGTGGCAAATTTGAAATTCCGTAGGAGATCCAGCCAGAGATGTTTATTATTATCTTTTTGAGAGGCTTTATCGAAAATTATCATCTCTCATAGATGACATGACCTGGAGCTATTTTAAAACAATGTCATGGCTCATTTAAGGTTTACTTTGTGTGGTCCCTGATGTTAAATGTTCATAGCATTCAAAATTCCAAGTTCATGTATTACAATCTTATGACGTCTTTAATATCGATCAGTCCGCTTAGGTCTTATTTGCAGGATGTTTGACTTGAATATTGAAAAGAGTCATATTTCTGGAGCTTTTTGCATTGCATCCATCAAGACAAAAGGCCAAACTATCACAACATATACTGCAGGTGACAAGAGTGCTCCTTTGGTTGGCTGAGGTATTTCATGGGGAAAGTAACAGGAGCTATAAGCTCACCAACTCCTCCTGAGTTTCATAATAACTGCGCTAAATGTCAACTTTAAATATCAGTCACTAAAAGAATATTACACCGCCCAGAAGGTGACATGATTTCATTGGCAGTTATCTGCAAAATAAAAGAAAATGGTCAAGCCTTGCACCTTTGTTAAATTCGCTAGGACCTTGGTAAGCCAGCAGTTCCTATTTCTTCCATGGCAAATTTTGCCCAATTAGAATCTCTTTGCCATCCAATCAGTAGTCTTTACCTGTGGTATAAGTTGTGATCATTTGAATTTGGCATTCATGGGTTTGTCTTGCGTGCAAGCCAAAAAGCTTTGGCAACGTGTTCCTCTTTTTCTGTAATATACACAGTTCATTACTTTTTTTGTATGGGGGCTAAGGTAAGACAGAATATGTAAATATGCAGACAGGAATTTATTGTAACGGCTATGATTAGCATTACAGGATTTGGTGTGGCAAACAGTTTTGTCACCATTGTCCCAGTTGCAGAGGGAATGATGAGCTAACAGGTTGGAAGTGTCAGATCCCACCATGGCACATTGTGAAATTGAATTTTTACAAACCTAGTTTTGCTCACAGGTAAGATTAGAATTATATTGAAGATGAATCCTCACCACTACCCATAACGTTGTATGAGACATTGGTGGAACAGCTGTCACCATCACTTTTCTGGTAGTAATCTACAGGCCCTGCTGCTTCGTTAGTGGGGTAGAGGATAACCACTTGGTGGCCCAAAGAGAAGAGTCTCTGTCTTAAACAAGATGTAGTTTATTGCATGGCAGCCATTATGTACAAGTTACACTGATGTGATAGACATTGTTATAGAGACTGAGGAAGACTTAGATGGTGGATCTTAACTCTATTACTGTCCCAAAGGAATCCAAAATCCAAAGCTGTTCTCCAAGTCCATATAATAATATCGTAATGGGTGATGTTTCAGGTATTCTTTGACATTAATTATTTTAGACATTTGCAGCTTTTATGCAATATTGCTGGGATTGCTTGGATCTATTGCAATCATGCCCACCATTAATACATTGAATGCTTCTAAACACATGCTTCTGGTTAAAAACATCATTACCTAAATTCAGTAAAACCAACAAGAAAAGTAAAATCAGATTTGTTTATTTACTTTTAGCTATATAAAAGCTATTAGAAATATAAACCTGTGCTCTTGACCTGGTTTATTCTGAGACCAATATAGTGTTTCTGTCAGGAAAGGTAGGCCTCATATGTAGATTGAGAAACAGTTAATTACCGGTGGTGCAACCACTTGCTTTAGAATAATAATCTCATAGTTTGACAAAGTCTATTGCAGGAATAGATTAAATACTACATTTTTGTTATTGGAAATCACAGTAATAAAAGAGACCTTTGGGTTATTAGTTTAAATATAATTTTCTTTTTGTGGATGTACATTTAAGCTGTTTTTAGGCAAACAAATGGGTTTATCCAGATTTTGGTGCACCTAGAAAGAGCTGAAAGGAAATATTTTTAGATTTGAGAGGTAAGCCACAACAGTTTTGAGACCAAATGGACTGACCAACATTTTTTAATAAAGATTAACATTCACTCAACAAGTATTAATGACCTAATTTATGGAGTCGTGCACAGCTGTGCACGACCTATCTTCGATAAAATTTGAATTAATTAATCACTGAATTTTTCAAACTATCTTCTGTGACTTTAGAACATTAAACGTATTAATATTTGAATATTTTACACTTTGGACTGTTTCAGTGTATGTTAACACAGCATTGTTGCCAGATCAACATTGAGATCATGGAAATATGATATTAAATTTTTAACTTTTTTGATGAGTCAATTTTAGTATCGTGCAGTTTTTAAAATTCTCAATAGTTGTGGGGGATAAAAGGGATGGTTGTTTTTTTTTCCTGTTTTTGCCTACTGTATGAAAGCTCTGTCATTGTGTTATGTAGGGTGCAATGAATCTGCTGGAAGCTTGTTTGGTTAGTAGAGAGGGGAACTGTCAGGTACATGAAGGCAGTAACTTTAATGTATCTTTATGGCATCGTGAATCCTGCTGTGTGTGGTTGAACAAATCCACGTTTTAGAATATCACCCTAGAGATTTTCCAGTGGTCAATATCAAGACACCTGTTCATAAATGCATCAACTGGAGGTTTGAGATAGCTAAGCGAGTCCATACAGATGCGCTGTCAAAAATAAAACAAATGGAAGAACTGCGGTAAAAATGTGAAAAAATCTGCTTTTCAGTTTAATCATGCCTTACAATGGCCTAACCATGTGTAGTTAAAGACATTGAAAACCTTTTGAGAGTTAGCTCTGGGAAGACTCTTTTTCTGATTGGCATGCTGTTTTTGGATGAGTCCATCATATTACCAGTGCATTCCACTGTGTTCATGATACAGTGCAAAGCTAGAGCATCTCTGGCATTTGTGACTTCAGTTATGGTAATTAGCAAGTGAGCAT